CACACACACACACACATATAAATATATTTTATATATATATATATATATATATATATTAAACACATACATATATATATATATATATATATATATATATATATATATATATATATATATATATATATATATATATATATATATATATACGTGTGTGTGTGTTTGTGTAATATAAATATTTAATAATATGTATAGAAAATATAAATTAATCGGTTTTAACTTGTCTTGGCCTTCAATAAAACCAAAATTTAGGTAGGCTTTGTCAAACTGTCTAATCTTTTTCTTCGCCTCTGAAGAATCACTGCATTTATGTTTCTCTGCCATTTTTGTTTTGATTTTGCCTTTATGACACGTTGACAAGCACGTTGTGTGAGTGAGCAAAATTTAAATAATTATTTAAAGTTATTAATTTTAATTATTTTTACTATTATGTTGGAATTTTAAGCATGTGTTTTGATTTTTTTTGGTACTTAAAAATACATATATAATAGTAAGGCTGTCCGATTTTGGGAAAAATCATAATCACGATTATTTTGGTCATAATTGTAATCACAATTATTGAAAACGATTATCAGTTGAAGTCAAAATTATTAGCACTTCTGAGATTTTTTTTTTATAAATATTTCCCAAATTATGTTTAACAGAGCAAGGAATTTTAACAGTATTTCCTATAATATTTTTTCTTCTATTTGTTTTATTTTAGCTAGAATAAAAGCAGGTTTAAATATTTTGAAACCAATTTAAAGTCAATATTATTAGCCCCCTTAAGCAATATATATTTTTGATTGTCTGCAAAAGAAACTACTGTTATACAATGACTTGCCTAATTACACTAAGCCTTTGAATTGCACTTTAATCTGAATGTTTGTATTTTGAAAAATATCTAGTAAAATATTATGTGCTGTCATCAGAGCAAAGATAAAAGAAATCAGTAATTAGAAATGAGATATCAAAACTATCATGTTTAGAAATAAGTTAAAAAAAAAGAATCTTTCCATGAAACAGAAATTGGGCAGGAAAAGGGTTGCTAATATTCAAGAGGGCTAATCTGACTTCAACTGTATAAATAGTTATTTTCCACCCTGCAAAGGAAAGAGAAATAAATACAATAAAATAAAATTATGAAACAAACTGTGCTTTAAGCATCTTCACTGTAAGAAAAACACTTTAGCTACAGCAGTCCTTCAGTCAAGAGCAGCGAGGGCTTTCTCGTTGTTTGATTAATAATGATAAAAACAGGTGACAGAAGGATTATAGCGCGCTGTCTCTTTAATAGTTTCTCTTTCACGTCTTTTGATCCTCAACTCATTTGTTTATTACACAAATCAGGGTTAATATAAATAATCACTAAACACCGCGTTTTGACACCTATTTGACCATTAAAGCGCTCACGTTACGATGACTTTAGATGTCTGCGCTCCTCTGCTCGTCTCAGTGTGTGAATGAGAGCGAATGCTGACCGGCCGCATATGCTTCTGACTGCGTGTGAGTGCTACGCACACACATAAGCACGCGCTCTTTCGCGCTTTTAAGAGCAACAACACGTGTACAACTGGAAAGTGGCGGTATATGATGCAAGAATTAATTATCTCGATTAATGCTTTTTTATAATCGTTTGAAGCCGAAATCGAAATCGGATTTTTGATTAATTGCAAAGCCCTATATAATAGTGGAGCGTTTTTATGCCTTTTTTTACGTCAACACTTATCCTCTCCCGCGCCCCCCTTGTGAACTCTGGCGCCCCCCTTAGGGGGCCGCGGACCCCAGGTTGGGAACCACTGATTTAGAGGTGTTGTTGACATGTAAATCAATATGAAGCACAAACCTCAGTGTGTTGATTTGACAGTTTGGGCTCTGCAGTCCAGCACAGATCAGCTTCACTCCTGAATCCTGCAGTTTATTGTTACTCAGGTCCAGCTCTCTCAGAGAGGAGTTTAATAATTGTAGAGCTGAAGACACGGCTTCACAGCACTGATCAGTGAAATTACAGTCTGACAGTCTGAAAACACAAGGACTCTGATTAAAAGACATACTGGGGTGCTGATGCCTTTACCAGATAAAATACATATTTTAACACAATAAATCATCCTAGTTATGTTAATTTAGAGGTGTTTTGAAATATAAATAAATATGAAGCACAAACCTCAGTGTGTTGAGTTGACAGTTATGACTCTTCAGTCCAGCACAGATCAGCTTCACTCCTGAATCCTGCAGTTTATTGTTACTCAGGTCCAGCTCTCTCAGGGAGGAGTTTAATAATTGTAGAGCTGAAGACACAACTTCACAGCACTGATCAGTGAGATTACAGCCAGGCAATCTAAACAGGGTGATCAGAAAATATCTTTTACACTGTGTAGCTACTAACAAATGCAATATGTACATTGTTTTATGTTTGTTTTTTTGTGTTAAACTAAATAAATGGCACACATCATTTGACATTTTCTTTTCTTCCTACTAGTTAATTTTGCTGTTGTTTTAAAATGGCCACAGCGAACTGTAAAATTTCGCAAAAATCTAAGATGCTGGTCTCATGTCAATTCCACTTCCAACAGCAACTCTTTCATATTGTTCTACTGTTATTGTTAAATAAATAATATGAAATAATGCTGAGATGAAGCTTGAGTTAAGGGCTATATAAACATTAAATGTTTAGCTCAATAGAAATGTCACTAATAAATAAATTCCACTCCTCCCAAACTTTCTTAGAGCATGAACAGAAGTGTAGGGGAGAGCGACAGCCTTATTTACTTCTCAAGTTCCTCAATCTTTACATTTGTCTAAACATAAAATCTATAAAAGATACAACATCAAATTTGCTCAAATCTCCTTTGGTGCTGCATTATCTGTTCTAATCTTCCTAATATCTGCTTGATCATATTCCCACTCGACTCCCTCAGTAAATGTCTACTTCAGTTAAACCTGTGCTCACTCACATTACTAACACAACAACTTAGTCTCGCAAATCTGCCTTCTGCAACATTAAGAAAAGTAAACCCGTTTTATTAGAGTCTGTCACTCAACATCTAGTTCAAGCTAACCGCTCTCTGCAGGCTGGACTATAGCAAAGTACTCTAGGCAGGCCTCTCAGTCAGTAATATCAACCCTCTGCAATTCATCCAGAACACAGCAGCAGGAATGGTCTTCAGCCAATAAAACAGCATGCCTCATGTACATTTCTTCATCAGCTTGTATTGGTAGCCAATAGTCACGTCAAATTATTCACCATTATACCTAAACTTGCTAGTTCAGCCTAACGTGCCCTTAAAATTTAAGCATGTTTAAAACATTATCTTTATAAAGGTATATAAGGTTATAAAGGTATCATGACACCTCCTGAAATTATTCTACTGTATAGCTCTGCTTGGTGGAGCTCAACATACAGCAAGTAAAACACATTGAACACGTCACCATTTTACTCAAAACACATATTCCTAAAGTTGATGTTGATTTGAAATTTTCACCAGATGATGGTAAAAACCAAGTAATCCATACAAAAAAAAGCAAGACTGAGTTATGAATTATATTATGTGTGATAAAATCAAACGTCACAGAGAAAAGTGTCGAATACATGAAAAAAGGAGGTGTAAAAAGGCATGAAGAGCCCAGACAGCAGCTGAAATCACTCGTCAGTGTAAATTAACATTAGCTACTTCAGTCCTACATGAAGAGCATGAAGAGAAAACACAAAAAAATTCAGAAATATAAAAAAACGCTGCTAAATAACTGCACATCAGAGTTCATAGCTGAAACCTAAATTCTGTGAAAATCTGAAGATTTTTGAAAACTGAAAATAAATAAATAAGATTAGCCCTTTTTTCCCTCAAAATGATGGAAAGTGCCAGTGGAAGCTCACAGTCCTCTAGGGTGAGGTGCTCCATCACCCAGCAGGAGATTAGAAAACAGTCACTGCTCCACCACCTCAAGAGGAGCCAGTTGGGGTGGCTTGGGCATCTGTCTAGGATGCCTTCCAGCCTTGTCCCACCGGGAAGGGGTCATGGGGAAGACCCAGAACCTGCTGATGAGACTGTGTCTCTCTGCTTGCCAGAGAATGCATTGGGATCCCCCATGAGGAGCTGGACGAAGTGTTTGGGTAGAAGCAAGTCTGGGGTTCCCTGCTAACACACTGCTTCTGTGACCCAGCCGCAGATAAACGGTTGAAAATGGGTTGATGAGTCGATTTTTTAAATGGACATTTTTATTATTTACATATGAACTATAAAAGAAAAGCTTTAGAGAGGAAAGTTGTGGCAAATCATGATGTTTTAGCAAAATGAATAAATAAAATTAAATCCCACCTGAGCAAAGCATCAATCTCAACATATAAGAGGCTTCTTGAAGTGGCCATTACCAAAAAAGCCTTTTGTACAGAGTTTTAAATCTATTAGTATTTAAATACTAAAATTAAATCTATTTAGTACGTTCTCCTTGCATAGTTTCATTGTTATTACACATAAGCAGATTTTCAGATTTAAGTTTCGTATTTTTCATTTGTGTGTTTGGATATTTACTATAATCTGGTCTGTTAATTTTATGTCAACAGCTCTTTTAGAGATGTATTTTCCAGGAATAATCATGACATGTTTGATACTTATGTTACCATCTGTAAATACTCTTTGCTGGCATGCTGCTGTTTTTACACCCAGACTAGTCAAACATCTCTCCTTTCATACCTCAGTGTGTTGAGTTGACAGTTTGGGCTCTTCAGTCCAGCACAGACCAGCTTCACTCCTGAATCCTGCAGGTCATTGTTACTCAGGTCCAGCTCTCTCAGGGGGGAGTTTGATGATTGTAGAGCTGAAGACACAACTTCATAGTGCTGATTAGTGAGAATACAGCCTGACAATCTGAAAAAGGTTACATTAGTTAATAAGGCATGTGTGTGCATAAGTGTTCCTAAGTAATACAATCATTGCTATTTACAGTAGTTTATACGTCTAGTTCCTTTTAGTAAAGAATTATTAGATTTTTAGTTGTGCATTTTACTTCTTATGATTTAAATAAGCACTCCAAACTTGATCTTGCTTGAGAAATGTTGAATTCTTCTTTCATCATTTGCAATGTTTCAAAATTTAATTGTTTGCCTTTGTTGATAATTTTTTATATCTGTGATATTATTTTCTGTGGCGGTTCATTCTGCATGGCAACCCCTGATATATAAGGGACTTAGCCAAAGTAAAATTGAATTATTTTCTGTAAAGCTGCTTCTGGCCATGACACGTTCACACCTAAATTTAATGAGACGTTATTAAGGGGTTATATGCTGCATCCTTCATTTATTCTCTTAGCTAAGGCAAGATCTTCTCTTAAGGTTCATACTTAGAGGGAAAATGTGCCTAATGCATTTTAAAGCTTGAAGCATTAGAATCAGTACTCTTTATCAGCCGATCTTTACAAGGAATCAGTACTCAATATCGGCTGCACAAATCCAGATCAGAGCATCCCTGGCTTTGACCCAACTTTGCTGTCAGAGCGGCAATACTCCCTCTGGCTGTACAAGACAGTATAAAAAAGTATAAAAGTATACTTTATTTTGTAAGAACACTAAAATCAATGTACTAGTAGTGTACTTGTGTACTGATAACGCTTAAGACAAACTGGCCCACTTTTTAAAAGTAGTTTTCTATTTTTAGTTTAAAAGAGCTTCTATTGCCCTGACGGTCCAGTCAGCAGTAAAAACTGTGAGAGGGACTTCTCAACAATGAACAGCATGATAAATACATTTTACAACAGCATTTGCAGCATTAAGCATATTTAAACTGTAAATGTATTTGCAGGTCAAGACAAACATTCGCAATAGGCTGCAAGGAGACCATCTTGCAGCCTTCATGCAGATCTTAATACATGGGCCAGTGGCAAGCTGCACACTTTGTGGACAAAAAAGTAATAAAAATAATTGTTCATTTGTACTGTAGCTTGAACAGTTCAAATGTTTGTTGTTTTTTACTGCTGTCGTTGAAAGAAACAGATTAGCACCATGACTCCTTTTGTTTATGTCAGTGTCAGTCTAAACAGCCATGCAGCGCCGCAGCCCCATCAAACTGAAAATTGAACATTCTGAAACCTTATCTCAAAGAACAATCTAAAGTTAGCTTTCAGTAGCAGACATTATTACTCTCATTCCCAAAGACCATCAGCTAAAAATGGGCTTTGCTGTTCTACTGAAGAAAAAGGTCCCTGCCCCAACACAAGCTTTGCTCATCTTTTCAATCAAAGACAAGTACGCTTGATTCATGGTAATCAGCTCATTAGTAGAGAGCAAAGAATCTTAAAAAAAGAGACATGAAGTGTAGGAGAAGCTCCATAAACTTGGTTTAGAAAAAAAACTTGTGTGATGTTTTCATATCATAATATTATTAAATTATAACACTCACAGAGCTTTCCTGCAGTTCCTCAGAGCTGGTAACAGTCTCCTTCTGCCCTCTGATGATGAGCTGATATTGTATTCTTTAAGATTAAATGTATCCATCACCTCCTCTGACATCAGGATCATGTTTGCCAGAGTTGAGCACTGAGCAAGAGTCAGACTTTTTCTTTTTGTTTTAGAGTTTAAAAATCTCTGCATTTGTTCAACAAGAGAATTATCCTTCATCTCAATCAAGCAGTGTGAGAGATTCATCCATCTTTCAGGACTGATGTTGTCTTTTTGTCCTCGTCTGAGGTTTTGGATTATTTTCTTGATGATCTCTGGTTTGTTCTCTGTGTGTTTCAGCAGATCCTGTAAGAGTCTCTGATTGGACTCCAGTGGGACGCCATGAAGAAATCGCAGGAACAGATCCAGGTGTCCAGTTTTACTCTCCAGGGCTTTATTCATCACTCCTTTCAGAAACACATCCAGAGGAACTTTCTTACTCTGAGTTCTGTGTTTCCCTGTCAGGAACATCTTCATCACCTCAGTGTTGTTGTGTAAATAGCAGTAAAACACATACAGTGCTGCAAAACACTCCTGAAAGCTCAGATGAACAAAGCTGTAAACCTTCCTCTGATAAATCACAGATTCCTCCCTGAAGATCTCAGTGCAGATCCCAGAATACACTGAGGCGTCAGCGACGTCTATCCCGCTCTCAATCAGGTCCTCCTCGTAGAACATCACATTGCCCTTCATCAGCTGATTGAAAGCCAGTTCAGCAAGTTTCACAATCACGTCTCTGTTGGACTGCAGGAGTTTCTCTGGATCTCTCTCTTCATACTTCTGCTTCCTCATGTGTGTCTGAATGAGGAGGAAGTGGATGTACATCTCAGTCAGAGTTTGAGGGATTTCTGCACTCAGATCTTGTTTCAGGATGGTTTGAAGAACAGTGGCTGAGATCCAGCAGAAGACGGGTATGTGGCACATGATGTGGAGGCTTCTTGCTCTTCTGATGTGGGAGATGATTCTGCTGGCTTGATCTTCATCTCTGATTCTCTTCCTGAAATATTCCTCCTTCTGAGGGTCATTGAAGCCCTGAATCTCCGTCACGAGGCTGATGTGTTTTGAGGGGATCTGATTGGCTGCTGCTGGTCTGCTGGTGATCCAGATGAGAGCGGAGGGAAGCAGATCTCCTTTCATGAGGTTTGACATCAACACACTCACTGATGAAGCTTCAGTCACATCAGAAACTTTCTGACAGTCTGAAAACATCAGTGTGATTCTGCTTTCATCCAGACCATCAAAGATGAACACGACTTTACACTCCTCATAAATCTGTGAGTCCAGATGCTGAAGTTCAGGATGAAAGTCCAGCAGAAGTGTGTGAAGACTGTACTGATGATCTTTAATCAAGTTCAGCTCTCGAAATGGAAGCACAAAGATCAAATCTACATCCTGATTGGCTTTTCCCTCGGCCCAGTCCAGAATGAACTTCTGCACAGAGACGGTTTTTCCAATTCCAGCGATGCCTTTAGTGAGAACAGTCTTGATCTGCTCTTTCTCCTCTCTGCTCTTCTCCTCATCTCCTGCTTCAGCTGAAGGGTTAAAGATGTCATTGCAGTTGATTGGAGTGTCTTGGAGAGTCTTGTATCTCTTCTCCATCTGCAGCACCTCATGTTCTTCATTCACTCCTTCACTCTCTCCCTCTATGATGTACAGCTGTGTGTAAATGCTGTTCAGGAGGGTTTGATTCTGCTGGAGTTTCACTCCCTCAAATAAGCTCTCGTACTTGATCTTCATGATGGTTTTGTGCTGCTCTTTCACTCTCTGAAGATCATCATGGAGACTGAAGTGACTCTGACTGGAGGATGTGCAGTTCTGAAGGGACACAATTCTCATCTGCTCAGCTCTCTCACTACTGAACACACACACACAGAAACAAGCACATACACAAATTAAAACCTATTTTAACATCTCTAAATCATCTGATTTTAAAACATGCTACCTTTATACACTAACATGCACCTATATTCTGCTTACATTTAAACAAAAAGCATACATACAAATTTGTGACTAATCTAAAGTTTGCTATTGCTAACATGCAAAGCATGACATCATTTTCTAAATAGCAGAAGATGTTATTATAAAGTTCAAAAATGTGTATTATATGACCCTCTTAGAGGAACAATGCTTTTTAATTTTCACAAAATGTTGTTTTAATCTGCACTCAACATGCATCACCTCATCACACACATTTCATCATTGTGAGTAATCTTACAGCTTTAATGATGATGTCATGCAGCCTTTTACTGCTGTTTTCAATTCTTAATGACAGTGCTTCAGTAAATCTACTGTATAGATACTATAAATCTACTATATAGAGTGTCTATATTCAATTATCAATTTTGTCAAACTCACACAGGGTGAAAGCTCTCTGCTTCATTACTGAACACTGGTGGATTATTCATAGATCTGTTGCTCTTCATGGACACACAGCTGGACAATGGAGACGCTGCTCTCTCTCTGCTTCTGCTGAAAATAATGAGAAAAAAAACTCAAATATTTCATGCTGGTTTCCTAAAGATGATCTGTCTGCTCCTTTATTTTAACACTGACTAACACATTATTTACAGTAGTACCTACTTTTTAGCAGTAATAGCATACAGCTGAAGAGAGAAAGAGGATTTATGAATAAGTTTCTTTAAAAGGACACATTTCTTTATGATGTAATGAAAGAAGCACAAATTAAAGAGCTAAAAGCTCTGAAGAGACAACTGGTCTTTCCTTTCTACAGTACAATATAGTAAATGAAAAAAGCTTGTGAACTGAGCAGCCAAGTGTGTTTTATGTTCAGCTTAAGAATAAACTCACACTGCTCTGACACAACTTGAGGCACTAAATAACTTTCGTTTAACTTTCATTAACGTTTCATTTTCACTAAACTATCTTTAATCATCATTAAAGCTTAGTGTGTTTAGGTGAATGAAGCTGTTCGTTATAAACCCCCTTGACAATAATTGCTTTAGGGCAGGGGTGTCTAAACGCAGCGCTGGAGGGCCGGTGTCCTGCTGAGTTTAGCTCCAGTTTGCTTCAATACACCTGCCAGGAAGTCTCTAGTATATCTAGTTAGAGCTTGATTAGCTGCTTCAGTTGTGTTTGATTAGGGTTGGAGCTAAATATGTGTTCTTCAGTGATCTTGTGTCCTCGTGTTCTAATGTAACATCGTCATCATCAACTGCCAAAGCTCAGTTCCAATACTCAAGACTGACTCCAAAACTCAATAGAGGCATAAACACATTAAGGGTGGAATTTGCTGGAATTTGTATTAAAATCTGTCTTATTTCTATTGTGCGAAGTATATTTGTATGGTTTATGAGCATGTTATATATAGTAAAAAGGGAAAAAAAAACAATGAATTGCTGAATGAATGCTGAAATGTTTAAATAATTTGCAGTTATTTTTATTTATTTTTTTTTATTATTTTTTAGAGGTTTTCACCTTTTGGGAAAGGACAATGGAGATTTTACAGACAGGAAAGCGTAGGGAGCAGAGATAGGGGAAGGATCGGCATCGGCAAAGGACCTCAAGCCAGGAATCGAACTCAGGTCCCCGTGAGCACCTTGGTGCTATGTGTCGACGCACTAACCACTAGGCTATTGGCACCGACTTAATTTGCAGTTATAAATGCCATGAAGGTCATGTGACCATCAGGAAGAACGCAGCATCTCATTTCTCACAGGATGTGTTCTCTGTTCTCAGTCTCCTGAGTTTGTTCTTCTGAGATGACGTGGCAAGACCAGTCTCCACAAGAATGCAAGTCCGTTCTCTGCGTTCTTGCAATTAAGAAACAGCCAAACTCTCCCTGACATCCCTGCTCTTGAGGGTTTTTAAATATTTTATAGCAAATATATATTTTTATAATTTATTTTATAAGTTATAAGCATTTTTTTTAGCTTTTCCAACAGCAGCTTTAAACAGTGACTGGAAACAGCACTGACCTCTGACCTGTAAATCACATCACTTATCCACAGTTATGATAGACAATAGGTAATTTACAAATTTCCACATCTCAGAGAAAGTCACTTCGCAATGCTTCACCACAATATTTCCCCACTTACAGCACACAGTGAATGATACTCACCCAGACTCAGATCTCACAGCAGATCCATCACTGAATGCAGGAGGCAGAAACATGGAGTTGTTGCTCTTCATGGACACACAGCTGAACACTGGAGATGCTGCTCTCTGAGGGTCAACAGGAGCCAGCTTCAGTCTCTTTCTGTTTTGTGCAGAAATTGGCATGCTCGTATTAACGTTACATAAATGCAATCCCAACGCAAACATGTAATACTGCGCTCACCACATTTCCCCATTTGTAATTGAAATAACGTCATATAGGTAGTTGGTAGATTTGTGTAAAAGACCTGCCACCACAGCTGGAAAAAATCCTAGAGGAAACACTGTAAGTAGTTTGTGATAAGTACTTACTGGAGACACGAATCATTTCAAATGATTCAGTTCATTTTGGTGAACTCGTTCAACCGGTTCACTTAGATGATCCGGGTTAAAAGATTTATTCGCGTTCCCGATACAGAAATAAAACTGAATTATTGGGCACAAATGTGTTAAAGCAATATTTTAAAGTGTCTGTATTTAATGCTGTCACTGTGCTGCTGTCATGTCCACTCGTTGTTTATGTCGTGGGAGCAACAGTGTGGATGACTGGAGAAAAAACGGCTCTATTTGGCCCATGGCAGCAGGATTACAGACTCTGAGGTGCCATATGGGTCAAACACCTGCAGCGCGAAGTAAATAGATTTACAGTAAAGAGTAAAGGTTTACAGTAAGATTATGTATTAAATACATTTACAAAAACAAAGGTTTTAGCTATAATTTTAGTTAGTTTCAGTTAGTTTTGTATGAGCACAATACAGTTTCAGCTAGTTCTAGTTTTTTTTTTTTTTTTTTTACTCTCGTTTTTATTTTTATTTCAGTTAACGACAATTATTTTTAATTTTTGTTTTCATTTTTATGTTCGTTTTCGTTAACTATAATAACTTTGGTAACAACATACAAGTGCTCATAGTAAAAGACTACTGCAGCTGATGAAAGACAAACAGTTAAAGAACAATCAAAGGTCAAGGGCTAAATAAACACTGATCAAACACCGATCACTGAGTTCAAATTAATAAAAAAAGTTTCCAACTTCATGACACTCACACAGACTCAGATCTCCCAGCAGATCCACCACTGAATGCAGGAGGCAGAAACATGGAGTTGTTGCTCTTTATTGACACACAGCTGAACTCTGGAGATGCTGATCTCTGAGGGTCAACAGGAGCCAGCTTCAGTCTCTTTCTGTAACAACACACAAGTGCTCAAGGTAAAATACTTCTACTGCAGCTGAAGAGAAAGATAAACTGTTTTAGGATAATCAAAGTACAAGTGTTAAAGAAACAGTGATCACCATAATGATGAGTTCAAATGAATAAAAAAAGTATCCAACTTCATGATACTCACCCAGACTCAGATTTCACAGCAGACCCATCACTGAATGCAGGAGGCAGAAACATGGAGTTGTTGCTCTTCATGGACACACAGCTGAACACTGGAGATGCTGCTCTCTGAGGGTCAACAGGAGCCTCTTCCCCCTCAAACACACGCATTTCACACGCAGAGCTCATCTTCTTTTCCCCTGTTATTTCAGACCTGTGTATAAAAATATTTTATCCAAGGCAACATATATATGAAAACATCATTAAAAGCCAAATAATCAACAGCAGTGCAAGTAAAACACAGTTTCAGACTTCGTTTGGACAAATAAAAGCTATTTTTCTTAATAACAGGAAGGATTAAGAAAAAATGACAAAACAAAGATATTTTTATAGGGAGAGATGAATTTACACCAAAATCCATATAAAACGTTGAATTTTACTCTTAAAAACATTGTTTGAATATAGCAAATGGTCTGTTTTGCCAATTGTATCTGGAACAAATTGCATCAGGGGACAAGTTCGGCCTGGGGGCCGCCAATTGATTAGCCCTACTCTAAATTCAATAACAGAAGAACAAGTTAATAACAAACTCATGTGCATACACACGTTTTGTGAATTAAGTGAGAAAAGTTTTTGTGTGAAGTACACTAAAAATGTACGCAATTAGTAGTGAATGAGACACAGCGCTTTGTTAATTTAGTCATGTTTTGTGGCAAGAAGCTGTGTAAAAAGCAGGATAAAGTACATTTAGGTGGATGTTTTTATAGAATAAAGTCCTTCAGTCCTTCAGCTCTGCTTTGTGCCAACATTAAAAGGGATGACAACTCCAGTACTCCACACCAAACAGAGGCTTTCATTTGATAGCTTTATAAATGATTTTTTAAAAATGTATGTAAAATAATGCAATACTATATGTAAAAAAAACAAAATTATTATATGCTTTAATGTCCATTAAATAAAAGTCAACATACTGTATGCACTTGTCGTTGTCATTATCACGGCCACAGCAAGTGCATCTATGTAAAGCTTCAACAAACCTACGTTTGACAACACGATCTCAACTAAAAATTTCTATTCTTTGTCTTCAACTATAGGCTGCACTGTTTAAAGCATTCTATGGGACAACACTGATAGGATCAAAAGCTGCACAGAAGATCGCAAAAAAGATCGCAATCTCGATTCAACCCCCTAGATGATCCTAAACCAGCATTTCTAACATTCTGCCAATCATATTTTCAAGTTCAGGAGAGAAGAAAAGGCGGCTGCACGAGTCTTTTTATTGTTTCACACACGTTGTTCAGTGACAAGGACACGTCCTAATGACGTTGAATGAGTCACATACTGTATTTATAAGGTATAATTCACCAAAAATGTAATTTTTGCCTTCATATAATGATGTTTTCGCAGCCGGGAAATCACACGTGACTTGAGCTGCTGACCGTGAGCTGTTATCACAGAGAGGGCGGGGGGGCACTACTTTATGATAGACGCGCACGCGTCTACTTTAGTGAACAGAACCTGCATATTTAGCAAGTATCAGGTAATACAGTTGTAAATAATATTCAGTTTGTGGCACAGAGTGATGGTTTGGGAGCCGCGCGCGAAGTATTAACAAGCACTTAGCAGTCAAAATGAAACCGAAAGCGTGCACATTTAAATAATCATATCGCATTTTAGAGTTATGATTATGACAAGCATTTGATATGTTTTTTTCTTTCATAGCGAACAGAGTTGTGCATGAAAATAAATGTTTACAGTGTCAGTATAACTACTCTAGCCTATATAATGTTAAATAATCTGATAATGACAAATGTCTGATTTTACCAGTGAATAAAATTTTCTAATAATGTTGTCAATGACAGATTGCAAGCATATATTTCAAACATAATAATTCAACATCAGAAATATTATAAGTAGAATTGAATTATTTATAGAAGCCAGTAGACCTACACATACTATTATTATTGATGTTTTGCCACATGTGTGTTTTTACCATACCTTTATTTTACATCTACAGAATCGTGAGAAATTCGCGATCTTTATTTTTAGCAAAAATAAATTGCGATTCTCATTTTAGCCAGAATCGTGCAGCTCTAATAGGATTTATTGTTGTTAAGTTCATGCTATGTTTCCTTCTTAATATCAATTTCTTTTCAAATCTTTAATACCATTATTGTAACTCGTTGCTGGTGAGATAAATAGCCCTTCAGTAAAGTCTATATTGATATACTCATAAACCTGTGCCAGTTTGACACCCCCTCACCTGAACTCACTGCAAGTGAGACCAAAAAAATGACAGCACAGCACTGAGGTAAAATCAGATTCTCAAGATATAATCTTTAAAATAATAACTTGTATTAAAAATGCTGACAGCCTAAATTCAGCCCATACTGGTACTTAAAAAAAAAAAAAAAAAAAAAGATTTCAGTCAGTGTTTTTATGTTGTAATCTAAATGTTTAATTTAGTTGAGAGATATTCCAAGCAGGCCTATTTATTTTAATTTTTTTTAATTATTTTTCTGTAAATTTTTTTCATTGGAAACACTGCAGGTGTGTTTTTTTGAGGATCTGTTGTTAATATGTTCTGTATGCTGTTTGTTAAAATACATTGATATATTCAAAAGCCATATAGTGTGTCAGACACAAAAAAGACACGTCAATTCAAATTTTTTTTTGTTCAATTATAATACAATATTATTCTATTTGGTTAACGGTTACTATTCGGTTAATGAGCGGCGGTTGTCGGTTGGGAAAATTAACCGAGATGAGCATCCCATACCTCTAACATTAAAAGAAATCAAGTTTTAACATTCCCATGACTGAAACTGACTGTTGGAAAATTTGAGAGTGAAAATCAACAAAATCAACCCCCCCAACTAAACTGCTCAGAATGCCCACATTTACAATCATCTACAGATCTAAAGTCACACTCACGTGCAAATTGACCAGGGAATATGTGTATATCTCGGTGACCAGTGGAGAGTCTGAGGTGAAACTGAGGAACAGTGTGGGGAGATGGAGAATCCTGCTGGATGTGAAGGAGTGAAAGGTCTGGATACAGACAGAGACCCTAAGGACTGTGGTGGAGCTGGTGGGTTGACAGACCAAGCTGGAGCCTGCGGGACGAATGACCACTGAGAAGACCACGACTGAGCCACTGGATCATTAAACCGAGCTGGAGAAACAGGCCTGAAGGTCTGCAGTGAAGCTTCATGATCATGAGGCCAGAGCTGAGGTCTTGTCTTATTCATCCATGGTTCACTTTCATAAGCCCAGGGCTGAGGTCTTGCCTCGTTCCTCCATAGTTCACTTTCATGAGGCCAGGGCTGAGGTATCATCTTGTTCCTCTGTAGTTCATTTTCGTGAGCCCAGGGCTGAGGTATCATCTTGTTCCTCTGTAGTTCATTTTCGTGAGCCCAGGGCTGAGGTATCATCTTGTTCCTCTGTTGTTCACTTTCATGAGGCCAGGGCTGAGGTATCATCTTGTTCCTCTGTAGTTCATTTTCATGTGGCCAGGGCTGAGGTCTCGTCTCATTCCTCCACAGTTCACTTTCATGAGGCCAGGGCTGAGGTCCTGTTTGCTTCATCCATAGATCACTTCTGCACAAAATATTACGATAAGAACAACAATGAGAACAAACTTAGAATTCAAACAGAAACTGAAACTACGACTGATTATGAAAAACAACACTGCACGGTTGGATTAAGCCAATTTCCACGTGGTAAACATGACTGATTATTTATGACTGGCCTTCAATAATACTGCCTCCTCATGCTCCTGCTTTACTGGTCTTTCAATAATAATTTCTTCTAAATTATATAATAAGTTATAATAGTTATGCAAGAACATTGTGAGTGGATTGAACATTTTATTTTCTGTAAACTATTTTCCCACCCACAGCACACAGTGAATGATACTCACCCAGACTCAGATCTCACAGTAGATCCATCACTGAATGCAGGAGGCTGATACATGGAGTTGTTGCTCTTCATGGACACACAGCTGAACACTGGAGATGCTGCTCTCTGAGGGTCAACAGGAGACTCCTCAAACCCACTCATTTTACATGCAGAGCTCATCTTCTCTTCCTCTGTTATCTCTGACCTGTGTGTGGAAACAAAGAGCAACATAGATTAGATAGATTTGACACATTGAAACGAATTGGGCTTTACTATAAACACAACATTTAAAGTACAGCAGACTGCCTTTAAGTCCGATCACATACCGGTTGAGAGGTATTCAAAGTTTAAAAACCAAGCTCAGTCCTGGAGGGCCGGTGTCCTGCAGATTTTAGCTCCAACTTGCCTTAACACACCTGCAAGGATGTTTCTAGAAAGCCTAGTAAGAGCTTGATTAGCTAGCCCAGGTGCGTCTGATTGGGGTTGGAACTAAACTTTGCAGGACACCGGCCCTCCAGGACTGAGTTAGGACATGCCTGCTTTAAATGTTATAGCGATACTGTATACCAAAGGCCTGTTTCAGTACTCACAGCTGCAGTCTTGGACAATAGAGGGAACGTGAACACGAATGTATAAGGTTTAATAAATGTCAAAGATCAAGCCACACAAAAAACACACTTAAAATTCACACAAACTCTAATACAGCATGATGCGACATTTGATGCGTAACCAAACCATCCATTGTGTTCAGTAACTTACATTGAATGTTTTCCTCTTTCAAGAGCAAAGTAAACTAGCTGGATATTATAATTTGGTAATGAAACATAAGAGCAATTCCAGCTTTATGGATAGGAAGTTTGCAATAAAAACTCAAAACATAAATTCACATAGAAAGTTTGTTAACATTATATTGAAACATCTGTTTATATTTTCCAAAAGTATTGACCACAGAGTTTTGGGATCAGAAAAATATCAATCTGTAAAAAAAATTATATTTTAATTGAGGACTGTGTGTCCAAAAAGTCTGTGAGTTTGCAGTGTGCAATATACTTTATAAAAAATTCTGTGAATTAAATTGCACAACCCTAAAGAAATAAAACTAATCAAACGGATAAGAGTTGGCCTTTATAGAACAAAAGTCATTGATTTTATTTTATTTGACATTTCTGCATTTATGAAGGAAAAGCTTCATTATGGATGTGACATTTTTCTGTTATGAATGTGACGGATGTGAAATTGCCATTTGTGTGACTTTGGTAAATCAAATATAATAGTTTGAAAACATTGACAGAGACGTTTGTGAGCATTTTTAAAGTAACTTACTGTAAAATAACTGCTTACACAAGAAATGTAGAGACAGTTTCTCTATTTTGGTGAAAAAATTTTTTTTTCATGGCAAGATTGACACTTGCATGGAATTGCTCATAAAGTGTACTATGTTTTTTTTAGTGTTCAAAAGGTGTTGTGCTAGTAACGAGCAAACAAAGAAAACAAAGCACAAAGGCAGAACATTTCATATGTAAGATTTAGTTTTTTACGTTTTTGTATGTTCTGAACCTTTGTTCTCAACAGGGTACGTTATTGATGATAATACAGTCTCTTACTGCATTCACCATCAGGCAAAGAAGCGCCAACGCACACTAAATACTCTGCTTATGCTAGTTTGGTTGAATAAAATCAGCAAACAATGCAAAAGAAATATGACAACGATGCTGCGGTGCCAGAAACTTGTATTACTATCGGCTAGTGAAAGAGCCGCTCATAACGGAGATTCATTCACAAACGAATCGCTCCCTCCGTCAGTATAAGAAGTGAAAGCAGGTGTAATCTGTTAATCAGATTTAACAGGGAGGGTGAATGGTACATTTCCATACACACAAACACAAGCTTTTTGTCAGGAATGCCTGTGCGATTACTTAACCATCAATGTAGAAAAGTGATGTAAAATTATAATTTTCGTAATAAAAAAAATGATTGCATACTGACATCCAAGAAAACTCCCGGTCATAGATATATGTGTATACGTGTATATATCTGGCTTTGGATGGCCACAGTACTCCACCTTGGTCCTGCATTCATTTCAAAGGAGCGCTACCCTGTTCCAAAATGGCGGCTCTATTGACGCATTCCTTCCAATAGACAACAACAGGGTAGGCGACATCTAATGTAGCCTATATATATATATATATATATATATATAATAGCCTACTGTGTATTTCATGTCAATTGACTTTTGTTGCTGAAACTTCTGAAATTGGCCAACTGAAAATCAAATTGTGTAAACAAAGCTCTGTAAAAATGTTACTTTACGACAGGTTTGTTAATGTGTCCTTTAAAAGAACACTGGAAATTCGCCATGTGAGGCTTTGGTTACTGCAAGGCCTCACACTTATTAATGCAGCATTATAATGTTGTTTCAGCATTCTCAACAGTGAAAATCTTTAAAGCAACAACGTACATCAGTTTACGTGTTTAATTACCCAAATACGTCAATATTTTTCAAACATTATATGTTTCAATATATAATATTATATAAACAGTAACCCCAAAAAACAACAAAACATTAAATATAAGTAATGATCCTGTTAAAAAAATACATAATCAATGAACAATAACATAAGCAATCACTTTGTTAAATTTGAGTGTTGCCATTTCCGTTAAGTAACTGTATCGCGACACACACTAACTCTGCTCGATATTAGCAGATTTAGCAGTGTTAAGTATAAGATGAGTTTAATGAGTTCGCTAATGCGTTCGACATCAGATCTACTTACTGGTAATGTTAATAGCCGTACTGATATTACACATTTGAAAGGTTTTAGCAAACTCACCTCAAGTTGTGAAGCCATTTCTGGCGTTGAACATAAGGCAAAAATGGCGTCGTCAGTCTTCCGTTGATAGTTTCTTTCACTTTCACTTGGCAACAATTAAGCTCCGCCCTGAACTGGACTGAGCGTGATGACGTCGAACGTATGACTTCATTTGATTTCTGCTGCATATTACACTAAAGCAGAGTCTGGATCGACACTTCATGACATTGCCGTTTTTTTTTTTTTTTCATGAACACTCAGGGGATAAACCCTTATCCTGTTATTTACGGGGGTTTTTTAAATAACAAAAGTCTTATTTGTTTTATTTCAGCTATAAAAGCAGCTTCTAAACCATGCTTAGCTTAATATTATTAGCCTCATTATGCAATATTTTATTTTTCGATTGGCTACAGAAAAAAAAAAAAAAAAAAAATATATATATATATATATATATATATATATATATATATATATATATATATATATATATATATATATATTATGCAATGACTTTTCCTAATGACTTGCTTAATTAACCCATAGCTAAGTCTTTAAATGTCACTTTAAGCTGAATACTAGTATCTAGAAAAATATCCAGTATTATATCCAAAGCAGCTTACATGGCGAATTTCCAGTGTTCTTTTAAAGGACACATTAACAAACCTGTCAAAGTAACATTTTTACAAAGCTTTGATTACACAATTTGACTTTCAGTTGGCCAATTTCAGAAGTTTCAGCAACAGAAGTCAATTGATATGAATTACACAGTAGGCTAAATAGCATTTGCTAGCATTTTAGCACAACACACAGGCCTTCTGAACTCTACACTAAAAAAAAAAAGAAAATCGAAGTACACTTTATGAGCAATTCCATGAAAGTGTCAATCTTGCCATGAAAAAAATTAAATTTTCACCAAAATAGAGAAACCGTCTCCACATTTTTTTGTGTAAGCAAATATTTTACAGTACTTTAAAATGTCACACAAATGGCAATTTCACATCAGTCACATTCATAACAGAAAAGTGTCACATCTATAATAAAGCTTTTCCTTTATAAATGCAGAAATGTCAAATAAAATAAAATCAATGACTTTTGTTCGATAAAGGCCAACTCTTATCCTTTTGATTAGCATCTTTTCTTTTGGCTTGTGCAGTTTAATTCACAGAATTTCTACAAAGTGTGTTGTACTCACTTTTTTGGACACATCCATAACGCATGTTTATTTTCCTCAATTAAAATTATAAAAATGTTTACAGATTGATATTTTTCTGATCCCATAACTCTGTGGTCAGTAATTTTGGAAAATATAAACAGATTTTTCAATATAATGTTACCATTATATTTTTTCTGTGAATTTATGTTTTCAGTATTTACTGCAAACGTCACATCCATAAAGCTGGAATTGCTCTTATGGTTCATTACCAAATTATAATATCCAGCTAGTTTACTTTACTTTCAAAAGACGAAAACATTCGATGTGAGTTTCTTACCTTGATGGATGGTTTGGTTACACTTAAATGTCGTGAGAATAAAGTAAGCTCCCTGAGAATCAAAACATAGCGTTTGATAATTTCTAATTAATAAGAAGTCTAAACACTTACTGGCTATTTTTCTAGATACTAGTATTCAGCCTAAAGTGACATTTAAAAACTTAGCTATGGGTTAATTAGGCAAGCTAGAGTCATTAGAGAAGTCATTGCATAATATTATTATTTTTTGTTCTGTAGCCAATCGAAATATAAAATATTGCATAATGTGGCTAATAATACTGACCTAAAAATGGTTTAGAAACTGCTTTTATAGGCATGTAGAACTGTGAGGATCAGGTATTGGGCAGAGCAGGAGAAAAAGAGGAGTGAGAATCTGTCATCTGTCTGCTTCCCGTAGACTCTGACTAAAAATCAGTGGTATAGGCCTGACAAATAAGGGGATTGTAAAATCTTAATATTTAAAGAGTGATTATTGTTAAAATTAGACTCACACAAACCTACTCTGAATGGACAGAAAAGATTGTTCAACACATGAATCTGTTAAAATCTCAGGAAATATTCAGGGTGTCATGACCCTTCAATCCAGAAAAACACTACTATTTTGTTTAAATGTGCTTTCTGCATTTGTTTTCTTTGTTATTGCACATAAAAACACACTTTAATAGTACATTACTGTAAATACATTTTTTAAAAATAAAATAATTCTTGAAACCCTGAAATATGTTTTGGAGTTTTCCATAGTTAAAAAACACAAATTCTCCACAGTAATATATGGTAATTTAATACATTTTGACCATAACTCTAATCTGTACTTCTACAGTTTGTGCTTCTTATTTTGGCCAATTTATTTCCTGTAAAAAATGTATATATTATATTTAGTAATTTATTTCTCAGGGCTTTTCATCTTTACTGGAGATGAAAGTGAAGAGTAAAGACAGTAAAGCGTTTGGTTATTATTATATATCTTTAAATATCTCCTGTAATTTAACAGGATATCTCTGGAAAATCCTGCCACCAGTCTTTAATATTATTTATTTATTTTACAGTGCAGTTATCCTCTAAAGGATTTGAACCATCAGATTAGTGCTAAACATCACATGGGCAACACATAAGGAGGGAAAGAGGAACAAAGAAAACAGGAACACAAATAACAAAAGCAAAAAGTCCATCAACAAGGAAAGTGTAAGAGCCAGTTATGCATAATTCATTTGTGATAATAATTTGGTTAAGATTAAAAACATGATAAAAATTGATAGTTAAATATATTAAGAATTCATTGTGATTGTGTTATATAAAATGCATAATTTAATAATTGATATAATTTGAAAACTGTTACTTTGGTATTTTGGTACTTTAGTTATTTTGATACTTTGGTATTTTGGCTTTCAACAGTTATGCGTCATGAGGTCATTAGTTTATACATTTAAGGCAGATTGCAGTTATGGATGTTGGAAGCAACACAGTTTTTTGACCGAGCTGATCGAATCTATTGTAACTTTGTATTTTTGTTTGCATTTCTTCAGTAAACCTTTTTTAAAAGAAGATTCGGTCTTTCTCGCGTTCTTGCAAATACTGGTTGTTGAAATAGAAGCTGCAAAATGTGGTACATAAGGATTTGCAAGAGAGGTGTGCCACTACAGAAAGAGACGAACAGAAACATCAATATATATAAACCATTTACTGCATATAAACAATTAAAACATTGACTATATGGGGTATTAATGCTTAAATGCAAACTCAAAGACATTCAGCTGAAACATCACAACATGTTTATATTAAAAAAAACTTCCTGTCGTGTTTGGTTCAACTCTGACCGATTTTCAACTTAAATCCCTCATAAGTATTGTGTTTTACAGCTGATTGCCTCAAGCCCTTATGATATCCTCCACGCTATGCATTTGAACATATAAAAGTGATGATGATCTCTTTCATTGAATTTTGAGTGTTTTAATTAACCTTGTTACCCCTGTGGTGTTCCCGGTCAAAAGTGACCGCCGTAGAAAATGAATGGGTATCCAGACTATATTCATTCATCAGACAGAAAACCTCCCCATACCAAACACACCATTGATTTTTGTCATCTATTGTTCATTTTGTAATATATGTCCAGTGCCTGTTTTTATTTTCAGTGGTTATTTTATGTGTAAATCTGTAAATTCATGTTTAACACTACTTTTAGACATTGTTCACACCTACAGAATGTTGAATAAAAGTTTGGTGGAGAAAAATGATGTTTGTGCAAATGTAAGAGCAGTGAAAACAGAGCGGTCAATTTTGACCGGGAACACCAAAGTAAGGGGCAGGATGTGATCAACATCTGAAGAGAAACACAAGCTGACTTCAGTCAAAGGTGAAATAATACACATTAAATCTGTCAAAATCTTCAGCAGAGGATCATTAAACAAGTCCACAAATAGATTTTCAGGAAACAATTCTGCACCCTGCTGCTGTGACTTCAGCAAACAGTATCGAACATTTACAGCAGAGGGCGCTGTAATGCTGTTTACTTGCTTCTCACATCCGACCAACCATGTTGCTGTATCCGAAATTGCCAAATATACCCTCACTCACTATTCCCTACAGTAGTCCACTAAAAAAAGACCACTTGAAGGAGCGAATGAAAGCGAGTGAGTGAATTCGAGCCCTTTTTTCTTTGTGCTTTGTGTTTGATGAATCCCGCAGACACTTCCTGGTCACAGCCTGTGATAGTTAACACTTAGCAAGCTGTCTATTAGTAAAAAAACAAAGACTTTTGATTTCTGTCATGTATACAAACGTTACTTTAATTAAACTATATTTTATTATTTTAAACTGTACACTGATAGGATTGCCATACACAGATAGATGTCATCTTGTGGTCAGATGCAGAAATTCTTTAGGGGTGCAAACTCTTACAGTGCAAACTAAAAACAGCATTCAATTCAATTTAAATCAAAGCATCTTCATCATACAGGACTGTATACACTGTTGATTGTGCCAAAGCAGCTTAACATAGTTGAAGAAAACAGAATAAAAACATTGCAAAATCAGATCATGGAACATTTAAGCAAATCACCTTCTCTTTCAGTATTTCACACTACATCTGTAAATACACAATGCCATCTTTGAAATACAGCTGCAGAACTAATGTGACTATATGTATTGCATTGCTTCATTTTGCTCTTCCCACCCTTGGGATGCCACACAGTTTGAAAACCATCAGAGAATAATTGTATTTCCAGAGGTGAGTAGTATCTAAATTCTATACTCAAATAAAATTACAAGTACTGTTAAATAATGTTATTTCTTCTATGTAGCCTACACACAAACACACACACATATATATATACTGTATATATACCCTGCTGAAAAATCCAGCTATAAAAATCCAAATGTCGACCAGTCTGGTTTTAGAGGGGTTTTGGCCACTTTCAGGCTGGTTTCCAGCCATTTCCAGCCTGGTCTTAGCTGGTCAGACTGGGAGATGACCAGCTAAAACCAGCTTGACCAGCCTAGCCAAACTGGGAGTCCAGCCAAAACCAGCTATATCCAGCTTAAACCAGGCTGGTCAAGCTAGTTTTAGCTGGATTTGGCTGGTCATTTTCCTGCCTGACCAGCTAAGACCAGGCTGGAAATGGCTGGAAACCAGCCTGGAAGTGGCCAAAACCCCTCTAAAACCAGCCTGGTCAACCAGCTAAAACAGGCCAACCAGCCTAGGCTGGTTTAAGCTGGATTTTTCAGTAGGGATATATATATATATATATATATATATATATATATATATATATATATATATATATATATATATATATATATATATATTAATCTTTAAAAACAATGTGTTTAAATGTTATACTTATAATGGTTAACAGTGTGAATGTAAATATGTCCTGGGCTATTCAGTTCTTCTTTTTAAAGGCAGTTCCTTTAAAGGTTCAAGAAACCCTCAAGTACTTTTTATTGAGATTTTAAGATATATGTGTGTTGAGCATCAGTTAAGTCAATGTTAGCAGCTGTCAGCTATAATTTTGGGAAAAACTGGATAATGTTGAGCTTTTCTCAGCTAATTTCATCTTCCGGGTTAAGAATAATTTTTGGGGCGAGAGGAAAATCAGTAACGTAGCGCAAATCTGCTTGTGGAGTGGTTTCTGATTATTATTCATAGCTGACTTCTCTTATCCTATGAGAAGAGCCTGCTTCTTAATTATTCATGACTGCACATGCTTTCCGAAGACAAGCCAGAACTGCCAAGCTGTGAGACCCTATGTGAGACTGTGTCCATGGACTCCACATACGGCATGCAGTTATTAGCCGTTCATGAAGGGTCGTATGTGTTTGTTTCCATGATCCGCGGGGTTTGTTGCATGTGTTTCCCTGCGTTGCTGTCAGGGCTGATCCAGACAAGCTGTTGGTTTGCAGCAAGCATTTTTCCAGGAGAGCTGTATGAGAATTGGAGAATGGCGAACTTTCCTTTATCAGTTGAGTTTGTTACTATTCAGACACATCGCCTATATCCGTGCTGCTGTGTTCTCCTATGTTTAAAACCCTCCAGATTACCGGCAGGGTTAATGGTTGAAGTAGATAGAGCAGGAGACCTGCTGCACTGCTTTCCACTGTGTTTACATTAGAAAAGTCCTCCTCATTTATAATGTTTATATAAACACGATTGTTTTTTTAATGATATCAATTGTGGTTTTGTGTATATGAAATTACGAATAACAAATGAAGCAGAGAATTAAAATACTCTTTATTTATTTGCATTTTAACTTTGTAAACTATAAAGTCATGCATCTCCTAACAGTTTGTGTTTCATTTTGTGCAATTGTATCCAGCTGCAGACATGCAGACCCACACATGTTTTAGGCACACACAATTCAGCAAACACTATAGTTACGACAGATGTTAATTACGACGGAGCCACCCGGCTCTTCAGTTCACGATTGCAAACCCGTATGCATCCTCCCCCGCTCTTCAGTTCGTGATCGCAACCTAATTACTGAAATTGGAAACCATAAACTGTTCACATCCTAATGAATGACAATAGTAGCATGGGTGGTCACGATCGCCATATTTGTCAAATTCAGTAGGTGGCGATAATGCTCCTGAGGAATTACTCATCGGTAAACAAACAAACAAATAAAAAATAGAAGACTACTTCGTTATTAACGATATGTATTTTGCGTAGATTGTGTGTGCTTGCCTAGATTGTGTATGTGCATGAAACCTGTGCGGGTCTGCGCTCCACACCCATTATGATGCTTTTTTTATTTTTATTCTGAGGTAGACTTGAACCGAAAGAGAGGGCGTTCTCAGCCCTTTAAAAACATACTTCATTCCTATATATTTTAAGTTCATGCAATCTTATTAATAAAGTCAAACACAATACCATGTTTGTGTATGTTTTATACTTTAGTGAGGTGTCTGGATTTCAGTCATCTGGCATCTCCTCCGCTACAGTGTTGCTGACTCTTGCCGCCATGATGGCGAAGAACAAGTTAGGGAACAGAGATCTGACATACAGAGCGGCTTTAGGGACCCAGCGAGCCATTAAACTCTCCTTCTTTTTACTACTCAAAGTCCTCAGGAGCTCAGTGGCCACATCTTTAGGGCTCACTCCAGGAGGGGTCTGTCTGTGGTCTGCATGTTCAGAGTTAAAGCAGAAGGTCCAGGGCAATACAGAGGAAAAAGAGGTATAAATCATATATGGGTCGGTCAGTGTTCTGTATTATGAACTGACCAACACAGGCTCATTCTGAAAACGTAGGCCAATATACATTTCTGGAGATCGCAAATTCAGTACATATGGCTGCATTTTGTCTTTAAAGGGTCACGAAACACCAAAACACATGTTTTAAGCTGTTGACAGTCGTATATGTGTTCCCACACTGCTAAAAACACTATTAGGACACCTATATTTCACTAAAAAGTGTAAATTGGTTGTTTTTTGCGTTATTATGAGCAAATCCGTACTTCCGGTTGGAAACAAATTTTTTAAGCTGTGTCACGACCATGACATAATAACGTGTATTCCAGCGTGCAGACTGGACGTCTGTGCCAGAGTGTGTCTTATTACATCTCCGAGTGATGCATTAATGCATGAGTAAGGCTTGGTTCAAACCAATCAGCGCGCTCTATTGTGCAACTTCATTAATATTCATTACTGTCACAGTGTTTTCACGACAGAGACGCCACATTGTGTTGGCAAAACAAGCGTGAAGTGTTGCTTTTATAGTTTGCTGCAGTTAAGTTTTGTTTTCATTTTCTCTCTTTGAGAGCGCAGCTGGAGTCACGTGTGGATTAACAGTGTACGCGACGCTAGACAACAATAACTTACGTGTCTAAGGATGAACATTGTTTACCTGAGAGCTGTTCTCATCTGCAAACGCTGAGATCCGGATTCGCTTGTAGTCTTCTCTTAAAAAAGACGCGGCTCTAGTTGCTGGTGATTGTCCTGTCTCTACAGATTTGGTAAGTGAGCGACCAGTGCTCTTTGTTTATTCAGTTTGTTCGTATCGAACTAACAATTGCACCGAGTGTAAACGTATTAGCACCACAACCAAACTTTAACCTTGTGTAGGATTTTCACCGCTCTTAGTGACCGGAATAACACACGCAGCTTTCTGACGCTACTTGCCGTGTGCATCTAAGTTTCCGGGAAATGCAGAGTTTTTTTTTTCTCATTCGCCGTGCGGTATCAAACATTGCATGAAAAACACACGCTTAGAGCAGTTCCTCCAATCAAATATCTCGTTTGTCGTGAGGGGCATGAATGAATTCCCTGAATGAAAGAGCCAAACTGCAGTTAAAGTCCACCATTTAATTATTTAGCAAATAATTCGACTACAGATGTCCATGTAAACACAGTCACTTTCTCCCCTGTGTGTGTGTATGTGTGTGTTTTGACTCTGAAACTCAGCGTGCCCAAATAGACACTCCCACACCATCCCTCTTTAGTTCCCCCGACACTCCCCCCAAACAGAGCTGGACACACCCACTTTTCTGACTTTTTCCAAAGTAGAGGTGTGAAAACACCCTGCTGAAACGAGGGGGTTTCATGGCCCTTTAAAACGAATGCGACAGGCGGTATGACGCCATTCTTTTTCGCGCTAGCAGCTGACAGCTTACCTTCATATGGACGGCTTTTCCGCTGTTACCAGTTTGTCAAGAGGCTTATAGCATACATCGGCCGACTTGAGACACAGAGAGGAGTTGATGGGGTGACGTGGTTTGAGTCTGGTGAAGAACGATTCAATAAAACAAAAGCCAAAAAAAAAAAAACATGTAAATAATAGGGTGAGGATGTGGTAAAATCTGAAAAGGTGGTAAAAGTCAGGGGGCTTTTCTTTTTCTGGACTGCTTTTCAAAAGTCTGTAGTTCGGTCAGTCAGTCTACAGCGGCCTCTTGGTGGATTTACCTGAGAACAGCAGGCATGAATGGCACTCGAAAGAGAAATTTGAGATCTCGAAAAGTGTACACAGCAGCCTTTGGTGGATTCGCAAAAACAAAAACTGCAATAAAGCGTAGCTCCTGAACATATTTGGCGCTCTTCAAAAATGTATATAGGGGTACGTTTTCAGAATGAGCCTGGGTTGGAACTATCAGCGTTCACTCACCCGTCTTCATGGATCGTGCTGTGATTTCATCCTTTGAAATTGAGCTGCTGGTTTTAATGAAGGTGTGGTTGATGGTGCTGACGGTTATTCCATATTCCTGAACCTCGGCCCGCAGACACTCAAAGAAAGCCTGAACCGCATGCTTGGAAGCAGCATCTGGACAATACAAAACATCTCACAGTGATTAAGACATTTAAATACTCAACATACCGTATACACCTAATACATACATTCATTCCACTCCGGCTTAGTCCCTTATTAATGAGCTCTCATTCACACACATACACTACGAACAATTTAAGCTTACCCAATTCACCTATAGCAAATGTGTTTGGACTGTGGGGGAAACCGGAGCACCTAGAGGAAACCCATGCCAACTTGGGAGAACATGCAAACTCCACACAGAAACGGCAACTGACCCAGCCGAGGCTCGAACCAGCGGCCTTCTTGCTGTGAGGCGGCAGCACTACGCGTCCTTCGTCTAATGCATATTTCTAATAGTGTTGTGGGCATTTTGTTTATATATATATATAAAGTGGGCCAAAAAGGATTTTGAAAATTGTCCTAACACAATGGTTGTTCTTCAATAGCTTTGATAAAAGGTTTACTGACTATTGTTTATGCATTTGTTTTGATCATTATGAACCTGTCTGGTATTGTTGTATCATTTTACTGTGCAACCATTTCCAAATGTTTCTATGTTTGTATATTAATTCAGCATTTGAAATGACGTGAATGACATAATACTGTATAATAACTACTAATGAACTTGTTCAAAAGGCTTTTGGAGCATTGTACTGCTGACCAATAAGCATTGCAGCGTCACTTTAATGGGCGGGAGGACTTGGAGAAGGAAATGAAGCAGGTGTGCCGAGCAGACAAAACCTATTGTATTTATACACAATTGTTTTGGTGTGATCTTTTCTTTTTTGTTAAGCAGAGTACGAATATTGCATTGGAATTCAAAGAAAAAAGATGTTTTATTTTTTTATGAGAATACAGATGATTTCAAAATTTGGCATATTGTTAATTTGCTCATTATAAATGGAAAATTGTTTATTTATAAAAGTAAATGGGCTCTGAAATTTTTTTTTTTTACCCACTTTAAAATAGAAATAAGTCATTACATGCACGAATAAAGAAACACAAAATACCAAAGCAAAAACAACTGTTAATTATTTAAAATGAAAAATAATTATTAAAAATTACAAATTACTTATATAAAATTAAATTTTGTTTTTGAATATTTTTCACCTTCTATTGTACTTGACTGGATGCTAATTTAATGTTGTTATTGCCCTTGTATGTTCTTTACTAAAATTGCAAAAAAAAAAAAAAAAAAAAAAAAAAAAGAGTAGACAAAACCTGAACTGAAATCGCTGCAAAGTGAAAGGTATCCGCTTATCTGCTAATGTTTACATGCAGATCAACACTGCTGCTGATGTATATAGTTGTGCGTGCACAGAAGGTGCATTTGGTTTGACTGATGTAAATGCCTTGTTATTTTGTATTGCGGGTGGAATGCATCCATAAAGCAATAGCGCCATAATGTCCGATTTTGCACTTGTAATTGAAGAAAGTTGATGATTAAGCTTGCTTTCATGTGGAGTAGACTTAATGCACGTAATCTAAACCATTTACATAGATAAACGCGATTGTTTCATCGAGTTATTTACCACTTAAACTTGATTTATTATATCTTTGGAAATGTGCCTCAGTCATGTTTGGTCTATTAGCGCCCTCTTGTGGACAGTCAGGGAACGGCTGCTCCTATTATTTGCCCTCACAGGGTGTGCGGTTACTGCAATTTGTATTCATGTTTTATAAGCATTGTTATTTGATGTTCTAATAATTATCTTTAAAATTACTCATGTGAGATTGTTTTTGTATTGTTTCAGAAAACCACAACTTGGTAAATGTTCGAATGAGACATGGAGTCGGAGAGAATTTCTTCTAATCTAATAGATGACAGTAAACACTTCTGCAGGGATTCAGACACACCTGAATCAGGACTAAAATTACACCTCAGTTACAGAACTGTTAATATCTTACTGATAATAGGGTAATAAGCGAGTTCTAATAGCATGAATTGTGACCCAAACTAAAGTGTTACTAAGGTTTATTTGCATCCTAAATGGCTAATATACAGTAATTAGCATTTGTATTATAAAAATGTTTTTAATAGAATCACACTGTATTCAGGGTCAAACAGTCCTCAAACAGCTAAATGTAAACAGGTTATGAGGAGAATATGGAGGTTTACGTTTACATTTGCTCATGTAGCAGATGCTTTAATCCTTTAAGCGATTTACAAGTGAGGATAAAAGAAGCACAGCAGATCAGCATAGTAGCAGTATATAAATGACAAACACCACCTGACAAAAGTCTTGTTTCCTATCCACATTTTATGAACTGCATATAATAACTTCTAGTTGATGAGATGGTATCAGAAGTGGCTTATATAAAATGCCTATGTAAAGTCTCTAGATTACACTTATTTTACTAAAATAAAATATGATCATGTCTTGATTTTTAATGACTTCATTAGGACAGTAAGGTCTGACTTTGCTTAGACAAAAGTCTTGAACTTAGCAGAAATAATGTCCAGTATAGAATATAAAGTCATGCTGCAGTGGAGACAGAATGAATATTGTGTCTCCATCATGAGCTTGGAGGACTGCATCCATACATCTTTGAGATGGCTCAAATCATTCATTAATAAAGTCATCTGAAATGGCAAAGAAAGCTTTCTTCATCAAGATTCTTTGGATTCATCTTCAATGTCTCCTCTTTCATCTATTTCCCCAGACATGCTCAATAATGTTCATGTCTGGTGACTGGGCTGGCCAAACCAAGAGCACCTTGACTTTCTTTGCTTACAGTAGCTTTGATATGGAGGCTGAAGTATGAGGAGGAGCGCTATCCTGCTGGAGAATTCCCCCTCTCCTGTGGTTTGTAATGCAGCGCAAATGTCTTGATACCTCAGGCTGTTGATGTTGCCATCCATTATGCAGACTAATTTCTGAGAGAATCTTGGGTTCATGCTGGTTCCAGTAGGTCTTCTGCAGTATTTGTGATAACTGAGATGCAGTTCAACAGATGATTCGTCAGAAAAATCCACCTTCTGCCACTTCTCCAAATAATCAACTAGAAGTCAAGTTATAATTTGTTGCTCTTACAACTGGGATAGACAACAAGACTCTTGTCAGGTAGTGTACATATAAGTTATTAAATCTACAAGTTTTATTTATTTATTTATTTATTTATTTATTTATTTATTTATTTATTTACTTACTTAAATTATTTGTTTTCCCCCCTTCCAAGCATATAGAAAGGAGAGTGTATCCTACAGGTGGTTTGTTAAGCCCACTCACCTGCGGAGCACACTGAGGGCAATATTCACCCACAGGTTAAGTTTATATTCATCAACATCAATGTAAACCAGTGTAAAATCTCACATGTGGTGCGGAAGGGCATCGCCAGTTTCCCCTGAATGCTGTTGACTAGAAGAATGTGACCTGATCTTCTGGAGATCAGCGATGGTAGAAAACCTGTGAGGAAAAAACATTTGCGTCAGTCATGAAACTCAGCAATCTGCTACAAATCACTTGGAATTGTAACGCCTGGGTTTACTCGAAAAGGCACAAGTTTGCAGGATTATCAAAACACGTATATTTATTTACAAGACTTACGAAGATGAACACAGGAAGAACATGGTGTGAAGACAGACATTGACATAGTGAGAATACCGGACAATGGAGGAACTGAATACAGGGACTTAAATACACATGAAGGTAATGACAATGATTAGACACATGGGGGATGAACACAGGTGGAACTGGAACAAAGGAGCACATGGTGAAGGTCACATGAGAAAAACAAACACACGAGGGAGTCAGGTTGTGACTAATAAAGAAGCATTTTCTAGGAAATATTTTATACACTTTTAAAAAAATCTGTAATTTTACAGTTTAATTCCAGCAGCTAGGGTGCTGGAAAAACTAGTGAAATAACAAGTGTTAAATTACAGAAATTTACCGTGAAATAACAGATATTAAATTACAGAAATTTACCGTAAAATAACAGATATTAAATAACAGAAATTTACTGTAAAATCACAGATATTAAATTACAGAAATTTACTGTAAAATGACAGATATTAAATTACAGAAATTTACCATAAAATAATGGATATTAAATTACAGAAATTTACCGTAAAATAACAGATATTAAATTACAGAAATTTACCGTAAAATAACGGATATTAAATTACAGAAATTTACAGTAAAACAACAGATATTAAATAACAGAAATTTACTGTAAAATAACGAATATTAAATTACAGAAATTTACAGTTTAATGACAGATATTAAATTACAGAAATTTACCATAAAATAACGGATATTAAATTACAGAAATTTACAGTAAAACAACAGATATTAAATTACAGAAATTTACAGTAAAATGACAGATATTAAATTACAGAAATTTACCATAAAATAATGGATATTAAATTACAGAAATTTACCATAAAATAATGGATATTAAATTACAGAAATTTACCGTAAAATAACAGATATTAAATTACAGAAATTTACCGTAAAATAACGGATATTAAATTACAGAAATTTACAGTAAAACAACAGATATTAAATAACAGAAATTTACTGTAAAATAACGAATATTAAATTACAGAAATTTACAGTAAAATGACAGATATTAAATTACAGAAATTTACCATAAAATAACGGATATTAAATCACAGAAATTTACCGTAAAATAATGGATATTAAATTACAGAAATTTACCGTAAAATTACAGTTATTAAATTACAGAAATTTACCATAAAATTACAGATATTAAATTACAGAAATTTACAGTAAAACAACAGATATTAAATTACAGAAATTTACCGTAAAATTACAGATATTAAATTACAGAAATTTACCGTAAAATAACGGATATTAAATTACAGAAATTTACAGTAAAACAACAGATATTAAATAACAGAAATTTACTGTAAAATAACGAATATTAAATTACAGAAATTTACAGTAAAATGACAGATATTAAATTACAGAAATTTACCATAAAATAATGGATATTAAATTACAGAAATTTACCGTAAAATAACGGATATTAAATTACAGAAATTTACAGTAAAACAACAGATATTAAATAACAGAAATTTACTGTAAAATAACGAATATTAAATTACAGAAATTTACAGTAAAATGACAGATATCAAATTACAGAAATTTACCATAAAATAACGGATATTAAATTACAGAAATTTACCGTAAAATAACGGATATTAAATAACAGAAATTTACCGTAAAATAACAGATATTAAATTACAGAAATTTACCGTAAAATAACGGATATTAAAGTACAGAAATTTACAGTAAAACAACAGATATTAAATAACAGAAATTTACTGTAAAATAACGAATATTAAATTACAGAAATTTACAGTAAAATAACAGATATTAAATTACAGAAATTTACCGTAAAATAACGGATATTAAATTACAGAAATTTACAGTAAAACAACAGATATTAAATGACAGAAATTTACAGTAAAATGACAGATATTAAATTACAGAAATTTACCATAAAATAACGGATATTAAATTACAGAAATTTACCGTAAAATAATGGATATTAAATTACAGAAATTTACCGTAAAATAACAGATATTAAATTACAGAAATTTACCGTAAAATAACGGATATTAAAGTACAGAAATTTACAGTAAAACAACAGATATTAAATAACATAAATTTACTGTAAAATAACGAATATTAAATTACAGAAATTTACAGTAAAATAACAGATATTAAATTACAGAAATTTACCGTAAAATAACGGATATTAAATTACAGAAATTTACAGTAAAACAACAGATATTAAATTACAGAAATTTACAGTAAAATGACAGATATTAAATTACAGAAATTTACCATAAAATAATGGATATTAAATTACAGAAATTTACCATAAAATAATGGATATTAAATTACAGAAATTTACCGTAAAATAACAGATATTAAATTACAGAAATTTACCGTAAAATAACGGATATTAAATTACAGAAATTTACAGTAAAACAACAGATATTAAATAACAGAAATTTACTGTAAAATAATGGATATTAAATTACAGAAATTTACCGTAAAATAACGGATATTAAATTACAGAAATTTACAGTAAAACAACAGATATTAAATAACAGAAATTTACCGTAAAATAATGGATATTAAATTACAGAAATTTACCGTAAAATTACAGTTATTAAATTACAGAAATTTACCATAAAATTACAGATATTAAATTACAGAAATTTACAGTAAAACAACAGATATTAAATTACAGAAATTTACCGTAAAATTACAGATATTAAATTACAGAAATTTACCGTAAAATTACAGATATTAAATTACAGAAATTTACCGTAAAATAACGGATATTAAATTACAGAAATTTACAGTAAAACAACAGATATTAAATTACAGAAATTTACTGTAAAATAACGAATATTAAATTACAGAAATTTACAGTAAAATAACAGATATTAAATTACAGAAATTTACCGTAAAATAACGGATATTAAATTACAGAAATTTACAGTAAAACAACAGATATTAAATGACAGAAATTTACAGTAAAATGACAGATATTAAATTACAGAAATTTACCATAAAATAACGGATATTAAATTACAGAAATTTACCATAAAATAATGGATATTAAATTACAGAAATTTACCGTAAAATAACAGATATTAAATTACAGAAATTTACCGTAAAATAACGGATATTAAATTACAGAAATTTACAGTAAAACAACAGATATTAAATAACAGAAATTTACTGTAAAATAACGAATATTAAATTACAGAAATTTACAGTAAAATGACAGATATTAAATTACAGAAATTTACCATAAAATAACGGATATTAAATTACAGAAATTTACCGTAAAATAATGGATATTAAATTACAGATATTTACCATAAAATTACAGATATTAAATTACAGAAATTTACAGTAAAACAACAGATATTAAATTACAGAAATTTACCGTAAAATTACAGATATTAAATTACAGAAATTTACCGTAAAATTACAGATATTAAATTACAGAAATTTACCGTAAAATTACAGATATTAAATTACAGAAATTTACAGTAAAACAACAGATATTAAATTACAGAAATTTACCGTAAAATTACAGATATTAAATTACAGAAATTTACCGTAAAATTACAGATATTAAATTACAGAAATTTACCGTAAAATAATGGATAATAAATTGCAGAAATTTACCAAAAAATTAAAGATATTAAATTACAGAAATTTACAGTAAAACAACAGATATTAAATTACAGAAATTTACAGTAAAACAACAGATTTTAAATTACAGAAATTTACCGTAAAATTACAGATATTAAATTACAGAAATTTACCGTAAAATTACAGATATTAAATTACAGAAATTTACCGTAAAATAATGGATAATAAATTGCAGAAATTTACCGTAAAATAACTGATATCAAATTACTGAAATTTACTGTAAAATAACGGATATTAAATGACAGAAATTTACCAGAAATTTTAATTTGAGGAAATTTCTGTAATTTAATATCCATTATTTTACTGTATATTTCTGTAATTTAACTGCCGTTATTTTACAAGTTTTTACGGCACCCCAGCTGCTGGAAATAAATCGTAAAATTACTGATTTTTTCTACAGTGTACTTAATTGTCTAGAAAATGCTTCTTAATTTAATAATTGTTAAATATTTGGACAAGATATGAGAACATTTTTTACAGTGTATCCACTTTGCAGGGCACTTGCGATTGTATTAAAAGAGAAACAGAGTGCAGAGTTGCAAAAATTTTTTTTGCATTAACAGGACTGACAGTTGTTGATCTGTGGTGTTTTACCTTTAACCAGTGTGATCGGCCCAAAGTAGTTGACGTCCATGAGCAGTCTGTCCATCTGAAGAGAGAGACTGTGAACAGGAGCCTTCAGCTTCATGCTGCTGTTGAAGACAAGCACATCCAGACAGCAGAAACACTCCAGGATCTCCGAGATCACCTCAGGAACGCTCTCCATACCACTGAAGTCCAGCTCCACAAGTTTGGGTGGAAAAGTCTGAGCGGTAGAGTTGCACAGGATTGGGTTTATACCACATACATGATTAGGGTCAAAACCTTTCTGATTGTGTTGTGGCTGTTAATGTTGCACTCACAAGTGTTGGATCTGATTGACTCGTCAGCTGCTCAGCAAGAGCCTCCAGCTTTTCCCAGTTGCTTCCACAAAGGATCAGTCTGGCTCCTCCAGCGTGGAAGAGTTTGGCACATTCTGAAATCAGTCACAGTTTTTAATAAAATTAGAAATATTTGCAAACATCTGAAAATTATTTATTGCAGAGACCAGTCTAGAGTGTTAAATAAAACACTGAGCATATACAATATGATCCCATTCTGCAGTGTGTTGAAGTAAATGGCTAATAAAGTGCTGATTGATAATTAATATTGAGCACTGGCTGTAAACAAAAAGAATCACTGAAGATACAAAAACTGTTGAGCTTCAGAAGATCAGAAAAAAACAATTAAGTCATATTTGCTAATTGTTAACAACAGCTCTGTTTCCATCCAAAAACGCAAATTAACTTTATGCCAAAACTGGATTATGGCATAAAAGACGAGCGAATAAAGCAGCGTTTCCATCCAACGAGTCAAATCGTCACTTCCTGATTATCTGGTGCCAAAGATCAACAGTAAACACTGAATTTGCTGTGGTCAGAGAAGCTGCATCAATCTTTTCTTCATTTAATAAATGACTTGCACCTCAGAAGGTAATCCTGACAGGCAGTGAACAGGCGGTGGCGTTTGAAGGTGTCAGACGCGGAGCACAGATGCTCTTGATTCTGGAGGTGATTACTAATATAATAACACTAATACTGAAACGGTTACTGCATTTTAGAATGACCAATTCAACATTTCAGATGGTTTACAGTGTGCTCAGCCTGCTGGTTTGTCCATTCACACACATTTTTATCATCACATGATCTCTTAACACAAAATCACATGATCTCTTTTAATGTGCATACTGGAATTTGTGCGGTAAAAGTGTTTCCATCATAGTTTATGCGCATCTTTTCTTATCACATAAAAAGTTTCCTACTCAGTTATTTTCAAAATTTATGCACATGATTTCCATCAACCGTTTTTTTATGCGCATAGCCAAAATGCGCATAAATAGGTGGATAGAAACATACATAGCTAATGTACTTGGTTTTCATAATTTAATTTTGGGATGGGTGGCAGGGCGGAGGTTTAGGGAAAGGGTTAAGTAGGGGATCATTTAATCGTCAGTCATTCAGTCAGTCAGTCAAAAGCAGCCTCAGGTGGATTTACATGGGAAATACAGGTGCGAATGGGGTGACAAGGTTTGAGACGGTGAAGAAAGACTCCATAAAGCAGGTATGACAAAAACAGGAAATAACAGGGTAAGAATGTGGTAAAATCTGAGAACATGGTAAAAATCCAGGCTTTTTCTAGATTGCTTTTCAAAAGACTATTATTCGGTCGGTCAGTCAGTCAGCAGTGGCCTCTGGTAGATTTACGTGAGAAAAGCAGGTGCCAATGGCACTCACGAGAGAAATTTGAGATCTGAAAAAGCATACACATCGGCCTTTTCACGAATCGTGGATTCAAAAACGAAAGCAAAAACTGTAAAAAATAAAAAATTAAAAATGTAGCTCCAGGGACATATTTAGTGTTCTCCAGAAATGTATATAGGGCTATGTTTTTAGAATGAGCCTGGGTTGGTTAATGAATACAGTTATACAGTTTTAGCATCAATTTGTAAAAAGGTGACATGCTTTTGGTGGTAAAAATAACATAATGAAGCATGACAGAAATATGTGTTTATATTAATTGCAGTAAATTTCTTTAAAGCTCACATGAATTAGAAGCAGTGTTTTTGTATGTTGTATTGTGATGCAGTTGAGAATTGGAATATATTCAATAAGAAAACAGTGGGTGTGGCTTGTTTTTTTCTACTACGAGCTGATTGGTTGTAGTAAAGTAGAAAATTCATTCAGAACGATCAGGAAATAAGATTTAGAAGAGTAACCTAACAGACTCCTCCTACTCACCTTTTTTGTTTGTTGTCAAAACTGATAGCGGGCGTGGTTAAGTATGTTAGCCACGCCCAATCTCTCAGACAGACATAATCTGAGAATTTAATTGAAAACAAACAGGAAGTGCATTTTCAAATTTCAATTTTAGATTACAAGAGCAAACAATTCTTTTCTATAATGACATGCACAGATGAATTGTTCACCACAAAACTGGCGATGTGAGATTACAAAACCATATGGTTAGTTTTCATTTATTTTGTACTTTAGCAGTATTTATATTCTGCCAAGCTGAAATGAACTTTTTTTCTCTAAAGAGTTGGTCTGGTTGTGCATTGCAGAGCAGTACCGTTTCCAACTGTTGAGAGTGAATCTGTAATCAGCACTACTTTGTTTCTCACAGTTGTCTTGGCCAGATGGCTGAGTATCAGTGTGTAGAGATAAAAGACAGCAGCTGCAAGCAGAACCGCCGACAGCACAAGCCAAGCCCAGGACACATCCAGCCTCTGAGAGAGACCAAACAACAGATCAGCAATACAAATACATCCATACTGTTTGATGGAATGACTACAGAACATTGAGAATGAGTCTAATAACTGCTCACCCTAATGTCACTCCAAACCAGAATCATGTTTCTCTATTAAAATTAATATCTGTTTAATCCCTGCTGATAAATAAACAGCATATGGTGGTCAGGTATGTTTGATGCTGGTATTGCTGGTTCCAAAGCTAGTCTTGTTGGTCTTAATGCTAGTCTTGCTGATCTTAATGCTGGTCCTGCTGGTCTTAATGCTGTTGTTGCTGGACTTAATGCTGGTCTTGCTGGTCTTAATGCTGGTCCTGCTGGTCTTAATGTTGTTCTTGCTGGACTTAATGCTGGTCTTGCTTGTTTTATTGGTGGTCTTTATGCTGGTCATAATGGTTGTCCTGCTGGTCTTGCTGGTTTTAACGGGGGTCCTGCTGGTCTTAATGCTTGTCTTGCTGGTATTATTGGTGGTCTTTCTGGTTTCTATGCTGGTCTTAATGCTGGTCTTAATGGTGGGCTTGCTGGTCTGTTGCATTGAGACCAGCAAGACCAGTATACCAGCATTAAAACATAGCTTCCCAGCATTAATGTATTTCTTTCAGCAGTGATGACATGAATATTCTGTCAATATTATACCAAGCATTTAAATTTTCCTCTAAAAGGCTTAAATACATTCAAGGTAGTTCAATTGACTTAAATAATTAAAAAAGCCATATCAGCCTGAAACAACAGAGTACATAATGATACAATTTTAGATTTTTGTAAATGGTTTGCTTCAAAGCTTGATAAATAACTTGTCATTTCTCACCATAATGTCACTCATCCCCATGTTGATCGTGTTTCAGTAACGTTGGACCTTAAACAACAGCGAAAAATGTACATTAATATGAATTAAAGCCATTCCTTGACAGACATTATCAGTTATCAAACTCAATTTTTTTCTGCAGAATTTCAGCTGAATTTTGCAATCATTCAACAAATTAAGAGACCACTTAAAAATGGCTTATTTCTCTGGTTGAACAATTTAAAAAAATGTTTTGCAGATTACTGATTTCTTTTTGATTTAAAATGTCAATTAAATTGTGCAAAGTATGTGTAAATTATCAGTTTTCTATATTTATGGGACCATCTATGAACATTATAGAACCTTAGGATTTCTTGCAACAGCTTTTAATCTTCAAAAGTTTAAAAAAAGTGATTTTTTATTGACATTTGTAATAGTTTAATAGTTTAATAAATAGTGATTTATTGTCTGGGTTGGTGTTGTAAGTCATGCTACAAAAGCCTACTAATTAACTGCAAGCGCATGTTCTGTTGTTTTACAGAGTTATTTCCCCATATGTTATTTCTAAAATGTCAAAAGTGACTTTGTTAAACTGTAGAGTTGAATTTTCAACATTAAAAATCGGCAGAGCAGGGATCAACATCCCATAATGCAACTAACAATCGTAATTAAACAGAAAACAATCACAAAATTTGCAAATTGTTCATTAGCAGATTTTTTATAGCGTACCAAAGAGGGTCTGAACTTAAAAATTTATTAAATTAATTCATAGGTGACACTGGCTCACGGCTGATTTAAAAAATATACGGTTGAAGTCAGAATTATTAGAGGCTATTTGGATTTTTCTGTCTTTTTAAAATATTTTCTAAATAAAGTTTTACAAAGCAAGGAAATTTTCACAGCATGTCAGATAATATTTTTTTTTTTGTCTGGAGAAAGTCTTCTTTGGTTTATTTCAACTAGAATAAAAGCAGTTTTTAATTTTTTTAAGAGCCATTTTACGGGCTAAATTATTGGCCCCTTAAAGCTAGATTTTTTTCATAGTCTACAGAACAAACCATCATTACAAAATAACTTGCCTAATAACCCCTAACCTGCCTAGTTAACCTAATTAACCAAGTTAAGCCTTTAAATGTCACTTTAAGCTGTGTAGAAGTGTCTTGAAAAATATCAAGTCAAATATTATTTTATATTATAAAATCTTATTTTTTTAGAAATGTGTTGAAAAAAAATCTCTCCGTTAAACAGGAATTCGGGGGGGGGGGGGGTCTAATAATTCTGACTTCAACTGTATATATCCTGTCATTCATTTAATAAATTGAGTGCAGACCTTTTTTGGTAATTGTAGAAATGTGGTCACAGCACCAAATTATCTGGAAGAGCATTGTAATTTACATTTGATTGACTTTTAAAAAGTAAAAAAATAACATAAAATGTAGTCTTAAGACATTTAGATTAATTTTAGATCATGTTGTATCTTCAGAAGTGTTTAAAGTCAATATGGAGTTGACCACCTAACAGTGTCTTTATCAGTCGTTATGTTAATTTCTGTGCTTTCTGAATCTTGTTTGGGTCATAATGAACCCAAATGTGCAATGAGGGTTCAATAGTTGTTAAACCATGGAGTAAAAACCACTATAAAGTCTATCAGGATGGTTTAATGGACGCTCTGTGTTCACAGCATTTACAGCATGCCGACTGAGAAGATCTCTAAATATATTCCAGCGTTGAATTAGCATTACTGCAGAGCTAACTGAGGAACAAAACAAACTAGATAATGTTCAGTCAGACATCATTAACAGCACTGAAGGAACATGTTTTAAACACAGAAAACATCAAACACATTCAACACAACTAATCTATGTCCAAATATTTTATATTATACTTGATTACTTACCACAAACATGGGTCTATAAGCTTCTGTAGATGTTTAGCATTAGCATCTGTGGTTGTGAGTGTCTTAACTTCTCTGTGCTTTACAAAGCTTTGCACACACACACACATGGTCTGAGTGCTGTAATTAGACCACAGCTGAAGCTGTCGTGTATACATAGCAGCCTGTGAGTCAGTGAGTTTCTACAAAGCTTTAAAGTAGCGGTGTGTTTCATAAGTATTTTATTATATCATAATAGGCTTCATCCATTTAAGCAGTACCCAAAGCATTTAGGTGGACTAGCATTAACAGCTAATCAGTATTTTCATTGTGTCACTTTTCACAAGCCCACTAGACCCAGATAGCAAGAACATTTGGCCCAAATGTGGGTGATAGCTGGCACATGTGGCTGAGGTATGGCATGGCTGAACAGATATGGGCCAGATTATTACCATATATGTTTTGCCATATGTTCTGAAAAGGCGGGAATTTTCTTCAGGCTCACAGCTCCTTTTGCAGTATGTGGCAGTGTTGCCAGACGTACTATAATTATCACATTTGTACGATAATTTCGACCTCTGTACGATGTACGATCAATAATGAGAAAAATCCCATAATGTACGATAAATTCAGAATTTTATGGCATTTAAAAGTAACTTCATTGTAATCTTCGGGCTTTTTATTGATCTAGCTGCATCTTTTCTTGTACTGTCTGTGAGAAGTAGGTAGAGTTATGCCTAGTTTAGACTGCGTGATTTTAGCCCTGATTTTGGCTCGCCGACAGGTTTTGAGAAATCGCCGACAAATGCCTGAAATCACAGGCAAATCGCTGCTCGTGCATGTGAGTGACAATCACACAGTATGAACGATCAAAAACGCGATCTGAGAGAGTCGCCGATGAGTCGCAGATGCCTGTGAGATATTTGGCGTGCTAAATATCTGGAGCTGTCGGCGATTCAAATCATGCCGTGTGAATTGAGTTTTGACTGAAAATAACATCAGCGATCACCTACAGCCAATGAGAGAGCAGCTTTCACTTGTGTGTGCGTGTGTGTATATCTGCTGCAGGCCAGCGGGAGGCTGGGGGAGAAGTTAAAAGCGCTCTTTTTCGGTTTATTTGAACCCACAAAATGGAGGAAAAACTAGTGGAGGTTTGACAGGACTCAGGAGCAACCGTGTCTGTTTGACGTTTCATACAAAAAGAAATTAGTTTATTATTAACGTTGAGGAGAAATGGCTAATTCCCTTTAAACCCAGGTGAGCAAACATGTACATGTTCTACCCCATTAAAGGCTTCTTTCTCATTATGTAGTTAATAACAAAATATATACACGTGTTTTTGGCTGTGAGACGTAGTTTGGACGAAGTTGTCGGCGATTCTCCCTATAGTAAAGTCATGCAATGTGAATGTCCATGTCGCCGAACCATCTTGCAGTGTAAACAAAGCAGCGACGAAACGCTAGCCCAGATAGTCATGCAGTGTGAAAACATCTGTGACACGTCTAGTTAGAAAATCATGCAGTCTGAACTCGGCATTAGGCACGTTTTCTATCTCATCTTACGTTGCCTCTTCTCAGCCAATCAACGTGGAGAATGGCTCTCTCTCACGAGTTAACGCTCCTGCTGCAGGTGCCCGTGGTTAGGTCAGTAGTTTTCAGTTTGAGGTCGATCTTTTAAGCAATAATGTTAAAACAATTCGTGCTGTAAAGGAAGGTGAGTAGGACTGGAGTTTTCCCTTGATGTTCTCGTTTTTCCCTATTCAAGTGTGTCTTGTGAACATGTTTTTTACAAAGTTAGTCTCATCAAAACAAAGCACACATGCACATGCACACCTCAGAAAATAAATCCCTCAACATCTGGCAACATTCAATGACATCAACTCAGAGGTGGAGTTTGAACTTTCCCACTAAGGAACCTATTTTTTTTATTTTTACGTATTGTGGTAATTTGCACGTTGTGTCAAAACGCTATGTGTCTAGATAATAGCTGTATACTCTCAGTTTGACTTGTGTACGATAATTTTCCTCCAAATACGATAATTTTGAGGTTCTGGTACGATACTTTGACAACACTGGTATGTGGGCCAGTTAACAAAAAACATTTAAGAGCCTAGTAAGGCTGAGCTGTGGCCGACATCGGTTGACATCAACTTCTGGCTGACTTTGGGATTGCATTTGGAAAACACGTGAAACTGAACACAGCTCTATCGTTAGCAGACATTGAAAAGCATGCCTCTGTCAAGACCTGCTTCTAAAATAAACACAGAGGCTGTAAAATACCAGCAACCAAAGCCCCTTTCCATATATTATAACCACAGGTCATATTATTAAACTTTAATGAAGGAACACTCGGTTTTGGATGGTTTATTAAAACAATGAAACACTTTTAACATTGCAGGATTTGTAATATATATTGAATGTTTTCCAGTACATATCTATCTCTACATATTGCTCAGAGCCAAGTAAAGCAAGATGCTTCAGCGAATGCATTTTTATTGCACTTTTGGACAGATTGTTTAGTAAATAAGCTTCTGAAGGAAGAAACTATTGACTTGCTATTTGCTTTATTTTAGTTTGCTACTCACACATACAACTACTTTCTGTAAAGGTTGCTGTAGTGATGATAATGTCAGAACTCTTGCCTATATAGAGCTCTTATAACACTTCTTCTAAATAAGTTCTCTCTGTGACCATATTTGACAATGCAGCTATTTCAGAATGCAAGATCCTATATATAGCCTATATTCATAAGAATCCCACATCAAAAAATACTACAGTAATTTATAGTAAATGCTTTTGGTTTTGAACTATAATGTAGCCTATAGTGTTTGCAGCTCATTGGTAATGAATTTTACAGCATATTAAAATATATGGTGTAGTATAATTGAGTATTTACTACAGTAAACTGTGGTGTATTGCAGTATAAAGTTATAAGGTATAAAGTTTAAAGTTATATAGTTGTAGAAAACTAAAGTTTTGGAAATACTTTATATATTGTGTTTTACCTAGAATTACCACAACAGATGAATTCAAGTACAATAATACAATATGGTTCAGAAACACTACAGTATTTACTATATATTTTTTTTTTATTGTAGGATCTCTGAAATCCAAATACTGCTTACATAACTTGACAAATGTAATAAAATAATTCAAATCCTTGACAAAATCCACTATATGTGATTAACATATTGATGAATTTTGACTAAATTCCTACAAAATTTAGTGTGAGGTCAGTCAGAGACTGTATGTACATGTGATATTAACAATAAGTAAGTTCACTGTCCTAATATTGACTTCCACAAATAGATCAGGGTATAACAGTAATCAAGGTACCGTTATTTATTTTTAGAGAGTGTAAAACTTTATCTTTTTTCATGTTTTTATCATTTAAGAAATGTTGCCAACATTCGTTCTTTCCTATCTTTTGATGATGCCAAGAAATTAATTCATGCTTTTATTTTCTCTCGGCTTGATTATTGCAATGCTATCTATACTGGTCTACCTAAGGGTTCTACAATGAAGTTGCAATTGATACAAAATGCAGCAGCCAGAGTTTTAATGAAATTAAAGAAACGAGAGCACATTACACCAGTATTAATAGAATTACACTGGTTACATGTGCACCAAAGGATAGATTTTAAGATTATTTTATTAGTTTATAAAGCACTAAACAACATGACACCTTCCTACATTTCCGACTGTTTAACAAAATATAATCCAAACCGTTTGCTACGCTCTTCTAGTGCTGGACTTTTAGAATTTTATCCTGTAAACCTGATGCGATCTGGCGGCACTTCTTTTAGCCATTATGCTCCAAAAATTTGGAACTGTCTCCCTCTTGAAGTGAAAGAATCCCCAAGTATTCATGTTTTTAAAATTGCGTATGATTAAACAAGTTTGTTAGGTGTGCGCATTTTATCTATTTTGTTGTAGGTTAATGTATGTAATGTATGGTGTGTGCTTGCATATGTAAGGACTATTGTGTGTGTGATCATGTGGATATATACTTATATTTTGCGTACATGAATGCTTTTATTTCAGTATATGTGATGAGTTTTTGTGGTCTATTTTAATACTTTTGTTGTTGTTTGTGAGGCACTTTGAGTTGCATGTATGTTGGAAAAGTGCTATACAAATAAAGTTTATTATTATTAATATTATTATTATCTGATAATGGTTATTAAGATCTGCTCTACCTGATGTTTATATGCATAAAACACACAGCAATGTAGGCAAGCATCGAGATGCTAATTATAACTTAAAGTGGATGCAGTGAACCATCACACACTCACGTACACACACACACACACACACACACACACACACACACACACACACACACACACACACACACACACACACACACACACACACACACAAACGCGCTCATCCACGCTCACACACATGAGACACCTGTTAGCTCAGCAGGGTTTATGTAAATGACTGTGAAACTGAGGCGGGCGTCTCTTTTAGTGTCTCTACAGTCTTCAAGTTTCTCTCTCTGATCATCTCAGCTTTATTCTACAGCACTGCTCATCTTTACACGTCACAGACACCAAATCACAAGATGATCTCAATATTCTGCTCTGTCTGCACTCTTCTGACCTGTGAGTTTCCTCATGTCTGATGGACAGTTTAAAGTGTTGGACACACGATCTCATGTAAAGCTTGTGTTTGTTCTGCAGGTGTCAGTGGAGTGACTGTAGTGACTCAGAGTCCAGTAATCACAGTCAGTAAAGGACAAACCGCTCAACTGGACTGTAATCTGGGGACAGTGACTGATTCTGGTGTTAGATGGTACAAACAGACTCCAGCAGGAGTTCCTCAGTATGTGTTATACGATTATCATACCAGGAGTTCACCTATCTATGGATCTGGCTTTGCTGCTCCTAAATTCACATCAACACACTCATCTACATCAGATTATAGTCTGATCATCAGTAATGTGGATGTGAGTGATTCTGCAGTGTATTACTGTAAGACATGGGACAGCTCTGCTAATGAGTATGTATCACAGTGATTCACATCATGACAAAAACCTCCTCAATGCTCACATTCACTTCTGCTTTTACACAACAGATGATCAGAGCTCAACTTCACATCTAGGATTA